TGAGGATGTAGGTGAAGATGAAGATGGGATAGGGATGAAGATGAGGATGAGGATGGGAGGAAGATGAGGGTGAGGATGAAGATGGGATGGGGTGGGAATGGGAATGGGCATGAGGATGGGGTTGAAGATGGGGATGAAGATAAGGATGAAGAGGAAGAGAGGATGAGGATGCAGGTGAAGGTGAAGATGGGATAGGGATAAAGATGAGGATGAAGATGTGGATGGGATGAAGATGAGGGTGGGGATGAAGATCGGATGGGAATGAGAATGAAGATGAGATGAGAGTGGGGATGCAGATGAAGGTGGGATAAGGATGGGAATAAGATGAGGATTAGGGTAAGGTGGAGATGAGGCTGGGTATGGGTATGAGGATGGGGATGAAGATGGGATAAGGGTGAAGATGGGAGGAAGATGAGGGTGAGGATGAAGATAGGATGGTGATGGGGATGGGATGGGAATGAAGGGGAAGACAGGATGAGGATGCAGGTGAAAATGAAGATGGGATAGGGATAAAGACGAGGATGAGGATGGGATGAAGATGAGGATGGGAGGAAGATGAGGGTGAGGATGAAGATGGGATGGAGATGGGGTTGGGGATGGGGATGTAGGTGAAGATGGGATGGGGATGAGAATGAGGATGGAATGACTGAGGATGAAGATGAGATGGGGATGGGGTTGAAGATAAGGATGAAGAGGAAGATGGGATGAAGATGTAATGAGTGAAGAGGAAGATGGGATAGGGATGGGGATGGGATTAGGATGAGGATGAGATGGGGATGGGGATGAGAATGGAGATGGGATAGGGATGGGGATGGGGTGAAGATGGGATGGGGATGGGATGGAGATGGGGATGAAGATTAAAATGAGATGGAGATGGGGTTGAAGATAAGGATGAAGAGGAAGACAAGATGAGGATACATGTGAAGATGAGGGTGGGATAGGGATGAAAATGAGGATGAGGATGGGATGGGGATGAGAATGAAGATGGAATGACAATAAGAATGAAGATGAAGATGAGATGGAGATGGGGATGTAGATAAGGATGAAGAGGAAGACGGGATGAGGGTATGGATGAAGATGAAGATGGGATAGGGATGGGGACGAGATGAGGATGAGGATGAGATGGAGGTGGAGTTGGGGATGAGGATGAGAGTGAGGGCTGAGTGATGATGAGAATGAAGATGAAGATGGGGTGAGGTTGAATAGATGACGATGAAGAGTAGATGGGATGAGGATGTGGGAGAAGACAGGATGGGGATGAGGGTGAAGATGGGATGAAGATGAGAATGAGGATGAAAATGAGATGAAAGTTGAAGACGATGATGAAAACGGGATGAAGATGCAGATGGTGAAGATGAGGATGGAATGAAGATGAGGATGAAGCTGAGTGAAGACAAGGATGGGAATGGGGCCAGTGCAGGGAGTGGTGCCGGTGACACCGTGTCTCCATTGCAGTGGGGTTGGACGCTGCTGGCAAAACCACCATCCTGTACAAGCTGAAGCTGGGAGAGATCGTCACCACCATCCCCACCATTGGTGAGTGCCCAGCACCGTGCAGGGCCCCTCTCAATGGACACCCACAGCCCAAACTGCTGCCAGTGGTCACCAGCATTGCGTTGGCAGCAATGCTTCGGGCAGAGCATTGCTATGCTGGGACATGGCTGGGCTCTGGTGCTCCTCAGGGGGATGGGAATGTGGGGGGACATAGTGGGGGTCACAGCATGGGTGCTCCTGGGGCAATTGACTGGGTCTGGTTGAAGGTACTGGGTGAAGCTTTGAAGCAGGGGGTGCTCAGAATCCCTCCTGGTGCTTTTTGGAGATGGCCAACCCATGGCACCCATGGGTGAGGATGCTCCTAGGGGGATGCAGCCACGCATTCAGCCCCCACCACGGCGCTCCCCACCTGTCCCCACATCCCTCCAGGGTTCAACGTGGAGACGGTGGAGTACAAGAACATCTGCTTCACGGTGTGGGATGTTGGAGGCCAGGACAAGATCCGGCCCCTCTGGCGGCACTACTTCCAGAACACACAGGTATGTGGCACAGCACCGGTTCCAACCATCCGGATGCGACCACAAGGATGTTCCTCGTGGGGAAGGAAGGCTCTGAAATAAGAAAGTCCTTTGGTGGGACAGTGGGGGTGATACTAACCCCCCTACAGTGCTGGGGCTGGGGGTGTTTGCGCCTCATGTCACACCCCATGCCTGCTGCACTCTGGCTTTTCCTATAGGGTCTCATCTTTGTGGTGGACAGCAACGACCGGGAGAGGGTGCAGGAGTCTGCGGAGGAGCTGCAGAAGATGGTGAGAGGGGTGGGGGGACACCTGTTCTGGTTGTGGGATTGGCCCTGGGGACAAAGAGCTGTCCCCAAATTGGGGCTCCCTGGCCACAGGGCTTGAAGGTCAGACTGCAGCAATCAGGAGCAATTGCAAAGGGGAAAACCAGCCAAGAAAACAGTGGGGTTTTTGCATGCTGCGCTGTCGTGCTGCTCCATCCCATTGTTGGTGTAGGGCTGGGAGGTCACCTAGCCCCATGGACAAAGAGGGGGCAATTTGCTGGAAGGGAGTTGCTTAGATTCAGCATGATGCCCAATTTGGCCCTGGATTTCTGATTTAGTGGTTGATGTGTGAAGCATCACGATGGTGGGTGCGCAGGTATTGCACCTCCCAACCCATCTGGTCATGTTCAAATGGGATCTCTTAGAAAATATGGCCTGGAGAGAATGCTCGTGGCTAGATTAGTGAATGGTGCAGTTAATTAAAGCAACATACCTTTGTTTTGCAAAGCTTAATCGGAGAAAATGATTTTGGCAGAAGGATGGAAAAGCACTGACTCGGGATTACAAGATACCTTATCTGTTCCAACAGTGTCATCGCGTTCCTATAGGTCTCTTCCAACCCAAAATATTCTGTGATGCTATGAAGGTCACTTCCAAACCAAACCATTCTATTACTCCATGAAGGTCCTTTCCAACCCCAAACATTCTATGACTCCATGAAAAGTCCCCTCCAACCCAAACCATTCTTTGATTCCATGAAGTTCCTTTCAACACCAAACCGTTCTATGACTTCATGAAGGTCTCTTCCAACCCAAACTATTCTGTGACTCTATGAAGGTCCTCTCCAACCCAACCTAAATGATTCTATGATGCTATGAAGGTCCCTTCCAACCCAAACCATTCTGTGACTCTGAAGGTCCCGTCCAGCCCAACCCAAGTGATTCTATGATGCTATGAACGACCCTTCCAACCCAAGCCATTCTATTACTCCTTGAAAGGTCCCTTCCAACCCAAACCATTCTATGACTCTATGAAGGTCCCTTCCAACTCAGCCTATTTTGTGATCTTATGAAGGTCCCTTCCAACCCAACCCAAATTATTCTGTGATCCTATGAAGGACCCTTCCAACCCAAACCATTCTATTACTCCGTGAAAAGTCCCTTCCAACTCAACCTATTTTGTGATCCTATGAAGGTCCCTTCCAACCCAACCCAAATGATTCTGTGATCCTATGAAGGTTCCCTGCAACCCAAGTGATTCTCTGATCCTATGAAGGACCCTTCCAACCCAAACCATTCTATTACTCCATGAAAAGTCCCTTCCAACTCAACCTATTTTACGATCCTATGAAGGTCTCTTCCAACCCGAATGATTCAATGATCCAATGAAGGTCCCTTCCAACCCAAACCATTCTATTACTTTGTGAAAAGTCCCTTCCAACTCAACCTATTTTACGATCCTATGAAGGTGTCTTCCAACCCAAATGATTCTGTGATCCTATGAAGGTCCCTTCCAACCCAACCCAAATGATTCAGTGATCCTATGAAAGTCCCTTCCAACCCAACCCAAATGATTCTCTGATCCTATGAAGGCTCCCTCCAACCCAAGTGATTCTGTGATCCTATGAAGGTCCCTTCCAACCCAAACCATTCTATTACTTCGTGAAAAGTCCCTTCCAAGTCAACCTATTTTACGATCCTATGAAGGTCTCTTCCAACCCAAATGATTCAATGATCCTATGAAGGTCCCTTCTGACCCAACCAAAATGATTCTGTGATCCTATGAAGGTTCCCTGCAACCCAAATGATTCAATGATCCTATGAAGGTCCCTTCCAACCCAAACCATTCTATTACTTCGTGAAAAGTCCCTTCCAACTCAACCTATTTTATGATCCTATGAAGGTCTCTTCCAACCAAACCCAAATAATTAGTGATCCTATGAAAGTCCCTTCCAACCCAACCCAAATGATTCTCTGATCCTATGAAGATTCCCTGCAACCCAAGTGATTCTCTGATCCTATGAAGGTCCCTTCCAACCCAAACCATTCTCTTACTCCATGAAAAGTCCCTTCCAACTCAACCTATTTTATGATCCTATGAAGGTCCCTTCCAACCCAACCCAAATGATTCTCTGATCCTATGAAGGTTCCCTTCCAACCCAAGTGATTCTCTGATCCTATGAAGGTCCCTTCCAATCCAAACCATTCTATTACTTCGTGAAAAGTCCCTTCCAACTCAACCTATTTTACAATCCTATGAAGATCCCTTCCAACCCAAACCATTCTTTGATCCTATGAAGATCCCTCCCAACCTAAGGCATTCTGTGACTCCATGGAGCTCCCCTCCAACCCAAATGATTCTGTGATCCTATGAAGGTCCCTTCCAACCCAAACCATTCTTTGATCCTATGAAGATCCCTCCCAACCCAAGGCATTCTGTGATCCTATGAAGGTTCTCCTCCAACCCAAACCCACACTATTAGGGTCGGAACGTGGGGCTCTTGGGTTGCTCCCTATTTATGAGTTCAAGATGATCGACTCACCGTCACAACACTGAGCAACATCAACCCTGAGCCAAGGAGGATGCCGGGGGGGGGGGAGGCGAGGTGGGTTGCAGAGCTGCATCCTGCAGCTCACCAGTCCCTGCCCCCCGTAGCTGCAGGAGGACGAGCTGCGTGACGCCGTGCTGCTGGTGTTTGCCAACAAGCAGGACATGCCCAACGCCATGGCGGTGAGCGAGCTGACCGACAAGCTGGGGCTGCAGGCGCTGCGCAGCCGGACCGTGAGTGCTGGAGGTTGGGAGGTGGTGGGGCCTGGGTGGGTGTGAAGGGAAAAGCAAGGTGCTCCCAGAAGCGGATGGGATGGGAGGATGCTTGCAGATGACGCCGTAGGTCGCTCCGGAAGTAATGCCTCCTGGTTATTTCCATGGTTTCTACCATTCTGGTAGAAAATGTCCTACGTTTGGGAAACAATCTTGCATTTCTGGGAGAAAATGTCCTGATTTGGGGAGAAAGCTGGTATTTCTGGGAGAAAAATATCCTATATTTGGGAGAAAACTGGTATATCTGGCCGACAATGACATATTTCTGGGGAGAAAGCTGGTATTTCTGGGAGAACCTGTCCTAATATTGGGGTGAGAACTGGTATTTCTAGAAGAAAATGTCCAATGTAGTGGAGAAAACAGGTATTTATGGGTGAAACTTCCCTATTTTGAGGCAGAAATCTGGTATTTCTGGGAGAAACTTCCCTATTTTGGTGGAGAAAACTGGTATTTCTGGGGAAAATGTCCCATTTTGGGGGATAAAACTGGTATTTCTGGGAGAGACTGTCCTAACACTGGGGGGGAAACTGGTATTTGTAGAAGAAAAGGTCCTTTTCCATGGAAGCTGCAAGAGATGCGAGGAGCGCAGTAGCGCCGTTTGGTAGAGCAAGTGCTCATCTACAGAACAAAGTTTTCAGCAGTCATTTCCATTTCACCAGTGATGATCAAGAGCCTGTGTGCTGTGCTCGTGCAAGTCTACACCACTACTCACTGTTACACAGATGCTGTGACCACATCGCTGTTAGACTGGAAGGGCTCTGAGTACCTGATCTAGTTGTAGCTGCTGCTGTTCACTGCGAATCGCTGCGAGATGTGGGACCAGATGGCCTCTAAAGATCTCTTCCAACTCAACCTATTTTATGATCCTATGAAGGTCCCATCCAATCCAAATGATTTTGTGATCCTATGAAGGTCCCTTCCAATTCAACCCATTCTGTGACTCTATGAAGATCCCTTCCAATTCAACCCATTCCATGATCCTATGAAGGTCCTTTCCAACTCAACCCATTCTGTGATTCAATGAAGGTCCCTTCCAACTCAACCCATTCTGTGATCCTATAAAGGTCCCCTCCAATTCAACCCATTCCATGATCCTATGAAGGTCCCATCCAACCCAAATGATTCTGTGATCCTATGAAGGTCCCATCCAACCCAAATGATTCTGTGATCCTATGAAGGTCCTTTCCAACCCAAACCATATTGTTACTCTATGAAGGTCCCTTCCAATTCAATCCATTATGTGACTCTATGAAGGTCCCTTCCAACTCAACCTGTTCTGAGATCCTATGAAGGTCAGGACAGCACCCTCTAACCCCATGGCCCCTCTAAAACCCCACATGCTGTGGGTCCCATCCACCAACAGCAGATGGGGCTGCACCCACCGCCGTGACCTCCTCCACCCCAAAGATCTCATTGCACGCATGCATCTTCCCTTGTTTTCTTCTCCCAAACAGTGAGTTCATGATGTCCCATATGGAAAGAACCAGAGGGACAGAGACACCAGGACATGTGGGATGGGGAAAACTCTTGTTTCCAGCTTTAATGATTCTATGAGTGGACACAGTGGGGATGGATTGGTGGTTGGATTTGATCATAGAGGTCTTCTCCAACCTGAATGACTTTGTGACCCTATAAGAGGGGATGATGGGGATGGGATGGTGGGGATGGGTTGGTGGTTGGGCTTGATCATAGAGGTTTTCTCCAAGCTTAATGACTCTGTGATCGTGTAAGAGGGATGGTGGGGATGGTATGATGGTTGGACTCAGAGATCGTAGAAGTCTACTCCAACCTTAATGACTCTCTGACCCTATAAGAAATGACTCTCTGACCCTATAAGAGGGGGGGGATGGGGGTGGGATGATGGGGATGGCTTGGTGGTTGGAATTGATTATAGAGGTCTTCTCCAGCCTTAATGACTCTGTGATCCTGTAAGAGAGTATGGTGGGCATGGGATGATCCTATAATTGGGGATGGTTGGGATGAGTCAACCGTTGGACTTGACGATTCTAGAGGTCTTCTTCAGTCTTAATGATTCTGTGATCATGTACGAGGATATGGTGGGGATGGGATGATGGTTGGACTCGATGACTGTGGAGGTCTTCTCCAACCTTAATTATTCAATGATCCTAGAAGTGGGAATGGTGGAAATGGGATGATAGTTGGACTCAGTGATCATAGAAGTCTACTCCAACCTTAATGACTCTGTGACCCTATAAGAGGGGGTGATGGGGATGGGTTGGTGGTTGGACTTGGTCATAGAGGTCTTCTCCAACCTTAATGACTCTGTGATACTGTAAGAGGGATGGTGGAAATGGGGTGATGGTTGGACTCGATGACTGTGGAAGTCTTCTCCAATCTTAATGATTTGGTGATCCTACAAGTGGCTGGGATGGATGTTGGACTCAATAATCATAGAGGTCTTCTCTAAGCTTAATGACTCTGTGATCCTATAAGTGGAAATGGTGGAAATGGGGTGATGGTTGGACTCAGTGATCGTAGAAGTCTACTCCAACCTTAATGACTATGTGATCTTGTAAGAGGGATGGTGAG